AATTGTATTTATTATATATATATATATATATATATATATACAATCTAAAAAAGAATAGAATATATATAGTAATAATTAATAATAATTATTATTAAAATAATTATATATAATAATTATTAATAAACTAATAATAAACTTTTTAAAATTATTAAAAACAGTTTATTATTGTGTGATAAAAATCTATGGGTAATAAATTTTTGGTCACTCAAACATATAAAAATTGATAATTATGAAAGATGATCACATAGAATGTTAAAATTATATCAAATGAAAAGTTCAATTTCAATTTGACAAGGATTATTAAAGATCTTGTTTTCCACATTATTAAAGATAAAGAGCAATAAATATTTGATATTGTTGATATTGTTTACGCGCTTTGATTTCCAGAGACGATCTATCTTATCGGCATAAAAGTCTATTCGAATGTTAAAACGAGATCATCTCCTTCTAATCTCATACCCAGATTGATTTCAAGACTCTTGATTTTTCCTGCTCTAGGCGCCTGTACAACCATCTCCATCTTCATAGCGGATAGTACGACCAAAGGCGCACCTTTTTCTACAGTGTCACCCACTTTTACCCTAATGTCGATGACTTCGCCGGGCATTGGTGCTCCCAATTGATTGCTGTCACCTTTTGTTGCCTTTGGATGCACATGCAACTCCTGCATAGAAAATAAAAAATTTTGTATTGAATTTTCAATTAATTTTAATTTAATTACAAACTTATTTTAATTAATTCTAATTTTCTGCCAATTTTATTTTTAATAATAATTTTTAATGGTAATATTAATTTAATTATTATTTAACTTCAGTTTTATTTGAATTATTACTTAATTGAATCATCAATCTGATGGTATAATACTGAAAAGCCGCAAGTATTTACCTTGACAGCTTCTTTATCCTTGATGAACACTGATCTTAGCTGACCATTCATTTCAAAGAATACCTCGCGTTCACCATTTTTCGTGAGATCCTCGGCAACTGCCAGAGTTTTGATACCGAGTGTTTTGCCCTTTTCGATGGTAACATCAAACACTTCACCTACTTTAGGTCCGGTGAGGAAGATTCTGGTCTCCAATTTATCTACAGGACCAAATTGTTCCTTGAAACTCAAATAGTCTTTCGTCACTTTAGGGTAAAGCGCGGCTGACATGACATCCTTTTCGGTGACATGCGGGTGAGATTCTTGTAACTCCTTCTTCAGAGCAGCCAAATCCAGAGGCGACAAACTCGCACCTGGCCTGCCTTGTACGCGTGGCATGTCCTTAAGAACCTTTGATCTGAGGAAATTACGAATGCAAATTAGCTTTAACGAAAGAATTATTAAAAAATTACATATTGAAATCTTACCTAAGAGGCTCAGGGAATCCTCCATAGGGTTCACCAATAGCACCCTGAAGAAATTCGACCACCGACTTAGGGAATGACAATTCCTCGGCTCTCTCCACAACATCATCGGCACTTAATTTGTTTTGAACCATAAATTGCGCCAAGTCACCAACAACTTTGGAACTCGGTGTGACTTTGATGATATCGCCAAGCAAGAGATTTGCCTGTCGGTAGGCCTTCTTCACATCCTCGAAAAACTCACCCAAACCGAGCGAGTAAGCTTGGAATTGCAGATTCGTATATTGGCCCCCGGGAATTTCATTGAGATAGACATCTGCGTTTCCGGATTTCATTGTTGTTGTACATTCGAAAGGTGCATAAAGCGTTCTCGTTTGTTCCCAATACGCGGAATACTCGGAGATATCAGGGAGATCCAAACATGTGTCAAGGTCCGTTCCTGTTTTGTAACATTAATTAATCCAAATTTAATATAATTCTACTACTAATATAATTCTACTAACTGTTAATAAATTTAATTTAAATAAACTGATGAAAATATCGCAATGCCAAAATAGCGAGTGTAATTGCTATTCAAATTGAAATTGTAAAAAAAAATTGTTTAAGAATAACGTGGAGATACAAAAAATAATAAAAAATTATATGAAAAATCAATTATCTATGATTACTGAAAATTAAAAAATATATTGAACTGATACCCTGAAGAGAAGCAACAACAGCACCCATAGAGGGTTGGCTAGTCATGCCGGACATGCTGTCAACGGCAACGTCCACGACATCGGCACCGCTCTTCGCGCAGGCCAACATGGAAGCTACTCCGGCTCCAGCAGTATCATGCGTATGTATGTGAAGAGGCACATCCGGGTGTTTCTGCCTGATTGCGTCGATCAACATCTCCGCTGCTCTCGGTTTAAGCAATCCAGCCATATCTTTGATCGCTAAGACATGAGTGCCCACTTTGACCAATTCGTCCGCCAAATCGGTGTAATACTTCAAGTTGTACTTGGTACGACACGGGTCGCTTACGTCACCCGTGTAGGAAATCGCCGCTTCAACGATACCTCCGGCATTTCCAGCGGCCTCCATACCTGAAGAAAAGTTTACATTCAGTGGAGAAATTCTTATGCCAGTTTTTGTATTCAAAGTATATAAGATAGCTTTGCAAATGCGTTTAAATTAAAATAAGTCAAAAATGCTTGTAAATGTTATTTTATTAATTGTTTTATTATAACTATATTGTTGACATTTTCATAAGATATTTCTTTCAAACATTGTATTGTAGTTTGCGTGAATTGGTATTAAGTAGTTCATGACACAATAATAATTCGCAAATCACAATACAATAACTGATTTATAATTAATTTATATTTATATTATAGTTAGATTGTTTCAAACTTACCAACAATAAGATTAGGCAGGTAATTAAGCGAGTCGAATACCCTGAAAATATCCATGCCGGTCTTCACAGCCAATTCGCAGAATTTGAAAACGACGTTGTCAGGATAATTCGTGTACCCGACAGCGTTGGCGCCTCTCAGCAGCATTTGGAATGGAATATTAGGAATGGCTTTGCGCATATCTTCCAATCGTTCCCAAGGGCACTCATGAAGGAATCTTAGGGCCACGTCGAAAGTTGCACCTCCCCAGTTCTCTAGCGAGTAAAGATTGCTGAATTTGTGAGCAACGAATGGGGAGATCATCAGTAAATCGTGCGATCGTACGCGAGTTGCCAGAAGGGATTGATGGGCATCACGAAACGTAGTGTCCATCAAAAGGAGACCTTTGTGCTGTCTAATAGCCTTGGCGAAGGCTTCCGGACCTTGCTCCTTGTAAATGTGACGGAATCCTCTTGGAGGATCCATAATTTCTGAAAAGGAGCACAGAAGAAAATCAGATTCGATACTTGTCTAAATAAAACAATAAAATGTTATTTGATAACGTGCTCTTGTTAATAGGCGTGAGAAATGTATATGAGAAGCGATGAATTAAATTTATCGTAGATAATAAGTGAGAATAAAAAATAAATAATTTTTATAAAGCAAATGTATGCACGTAATTACTAATTTAATATTTAGTTATATTAATATTAAAATAGTTATAAACATTTAATAAAATTTTATTTTATAGCATTTTATTAAATGTTTTATTATTTTATAATTTTATTTTATAAAAGTTTATAAAATTAAAATTTAATAAAATTTTAATCTTTCTAAATCTTTGTTATTTATGTCGATTGATTTTTATTATAACAATTTTATATTATTAAAAATATAAAAATCTTTGTGGTTAAATATTATTATTTTATATATTATAAGCATATTTTTTTCATTTAATAAATGCTTCAAAATTTAAATTAAAAAATATTTTATGAAACATGCACAGCATTTTTAAATTATTTGCTACAAACTGAATAATAAAGTAATAATATTTTAATGTAGTGATACATATAAGATATATATTTGTATTACTGTTAATAGGATTATTATATAATAGTTTACTTAATATGATATATTAAATATAATCTCTAAATTATGATGTGATTAAATTTAGAAATAAATGAATAAAATTTCAATAAACAAATGTCTGCCAATCTGAAAGAAAAATAGCAAATTAAAAAATACGCCAAATTTTGTTTACGTTATACATAAAATTTTGTTATACTATACCAGTTCAATTTTTAGCTTCACAAATACTAGACAATAATAAAAAAAAAAAGAAAAAAAACAAGAGGCATGTATGTATAACATACATTGTAACCATACCTGGTGCATCAGGATCATTGGTCTCTTCTGCAGCTGCAAGCTTAGCAAAGTCTAAAAAAAATTGTCAAACAAAAAAATAAAAGCATGCGATAAAGGACGAAATGTATAGAGAACGAAATTAATATTTATAGGTGTAAGTCACTCTATATAGATATAACAGTGAATCTTCAAGAGACGAAGATTTTTGGGATTTATCTAGATTTACTGGATTCATCCCACTTATTATAAATGTATAGCGTCCGTGATGCTTTCAATATAAAATAAGTTTCTTTTTGACTGTGTGTAGAATGAAATTTTTAATTATTTACGAGTAATACCAATTGGTAACAAAAAACAACATGCTTCATTATTTGTTATTAATGACTAATAGAGACATATGAAGATGCTTCGTGAGCCCAGTTACGGATTCGTCTAGTGTGCAATGTGCTTAATGCAGCGCAGTGCAATAATTACATTTGAATTTAGACACAAGAACACACAAGAAAAAGAAATAGATTTTTTTTAAACGGTTAACCCAAGTGTTCCTATAGACCCAGCAGAAAAGCAAAAACTGTTTATTACCTTATAAGCAAAAAGGATGTTTACTATTTTTCCTTTAGATATTATAATTTTAATATTATTACTTGTGTTTATTAAAAAATGTTAAAAATTAATAAAAAAATAAATTTTAGTACGGGTAAATTTGTAGAGAGAAAAGTTCGATTATGTCTATTAGAAAAAAATAATTAAAATTAATAAACATTTTTTAATTACTTTTTTAGTTCGTTAATAATTTTCAAAAATTAAAAAGAATTCTCAAAATTATCATGTCAATAAATATTCGCAGGATTTTTAATTAGCCTTTAGGTTAACATTAATTAATTTGATCAGAGAATTAGTAGACATCCTACTGACATAAAAAAAAAAATTAAAAAAATACAATTCCTGTTCTGCTGATCCATCGCATGAAAGCATGTCCTCCGTACGCCTCTGTTCAAATGGCTATAATAATTTTGTCACCTAATGTGAATGTTATTTAATTTAATATCTAATGTCGAAATTTAACAGGATTGGGATTCGGCTATCGAAATTTTCTAAATTTTCTATTATAAAAGGTGCATTGCCTCTAATTGTCGCTATACTTGTTGGTAACCGATCATGTACCTAGAGCAATCTGCGGAATATGTGGTTTGATGTCTGCTGGTTTCAGCTGAGTAGCTAGTGGTGTACTCGGACCATTTACAAGGACAGAACCGATGTAGTTGAGCAATTTCTGTGCTCGATTCTGGCTCGGTTGTAACTGGAAGAGCTGGGGATTCTCGTCGATAAAGTATGTATCGACGATGCCGTTAAGGAACTTTTGATTTTCCAGGACATTTAATAGGAAGGGTATATTTGTTTTTACTCCGCGCACACGAAACTCGCGGAGGGCTCGATTCATCTTAGCGCAGGATGATTGAAGATCGCCAGCATGGGCAATTACCTGAAAAAGCAAAAAATATTATTTTATATAAGAACTAGAAATATACTTCTAAAAATAGAAATATACTAGAAATATACTTCTTCTTCTTTCTATATACTTCTTGATACACAATTGTCAAAATGATCCTCGCTGTGAGATCAATATAACGACAGCTATTCACGAAGTTAGCGCAACGAGAGAATTAATCAGCATCGCGGAAAAGCGTCGATAATAAATTTCAAGAATTTCAAGAGATGCGAGTACCGATTTAACATGCCTTTTTTTAGAAAGGAAAAGAAATGTGCAATCATAGAATGACTTCAGCTTTCTTTAAAATAATGAAAATTGATTTATATTAAATTTATTAGATTTATTAGAAAACATTATTGGAATGAAAAATAAATATTACTCTACTTGTGATCTCTTGTGTTTTTTCTGCGTTAAGTGTAATAATATTTTATTTTTCTCTTTTAATATGATTTCATATTTGATACTTTACCTTAACAAGAAGGGAGTCGTAATACGGCGAAATTATAGCACCGGCGAAAGCGGAGGCTCCGTCCAATCGGATGCCCATACCTTCACCTGAACGGAAAACTTCTATTCTTCCGGTGTCTGGTTGGAAGTTCTTAGCTGGATCTTCCGTTGTTACTCGGCATTGAATGGCAAATCCTTGAGATATAATTTTTTCCTGTGTCATACCAAGCTCTGGTAATGTCATGCCTTCAGCGATTCGGATTTGAGATTGCACGAGATCGATTCTGAAAGAACGAAAATGAAGAAAATAGTAATTAATACTTGCGTAAAACAAATACATATGGTTAATGTTACAATTACATTTTAATTATCAAACAAGTGGAAGAGAGAAATGAAATCGAAGGAGTGTAAAAAGATAGATTGATTTTTTGATGTCTATTTACCCGGTTATTTCCTCGGTCACCGTGTGTTCAACTTGTAATCTGGCATTAACTTCGATAAAGTAAAAATTTCCAGATTCGTCGACTAAGAATTCCACAGTACCAGCATTCGAATAACCAACGTGTTTTGCCAATTTGACGGCGTATGCGGTCATTTTCTCGCGAACCTTGGGTGATAACGCTGGAGCTGGCGCAATCTCGACAACCTGCGTATTTAACGGAAGTTTTGAAAAACTGCTTAGATTGATACTACAATTTTTGATTGGATTTTTTATTGAATTTCTTCAATTTAATGTCACATTTTGTCTGTATGAAACGTAAAAACATAAAAACGTAAGTAAAAAAACATAAAAAATCCGTTTGGCGTCGCATTTTATAATTAAGTTTTTAATTTGAAAATTATATAAATTTGTGAACTATAATCATCAATTTCGTGTGATTACGTCATTATCCTTGTTGCGAACAAGACGAACGAATGTAACCGTAGTGAATGTACTTGCCTTTCGCATTCAAATATCCTTGAGAAAGCCTTGAGGAAAAAACTTGTCATACCCCAATTTACAGAATTGAAAAAAATTACTAATTTGAGGCTTTCATGTTACGAAAGTTTATAGTAATACTTTTGCAATACCATAGCAATACACAAGAGTATTTTTAGCATATATGTTGCACATATATTTTACACAATATCTATATATTTTCATTATTATTTCTGACTTTTGTGTCCAGATATCATAAAATATGAGTTAATAAAATAACTTGTATAAGCTATTAATCTTATATGTCAATAATGGAATCTATTTTAAAATTATTATTTATGTCATTAAATAAATTAATTATAATTTTTGAAAACTAATTATGAAGTCACAGGTACGTAACACTGTTTTTTTAAATTAAGAAATGTTAAGCATATTTAATAGATTTATATAATAAATAAAAATTGCTGAGAATATATTTAATTATCAATATTTGAACCGCTTGATGTCTTTAACTTTTATAATTTTATAAATTAAATGAAAATTAATAAAAGAACTGACCTTCTGATGACGACGCTGTACAGAACAATCACGTTCATATAAATGCACGACATTGCCAGCATGGTCCCCAAGTAATTGAACTTCAATATGACGTGGTCTTTCAATGAATTTCTCAATGAACATCGCACCATTTCCAAAAGCAGCCGCTGCTTCAGAAGACGCACGATCAAACATCTCACGAACTTCCTCCATTTGTCTCACGACTCTCATTCCTATACATTGATAAAATTGTTTAACAAGAGTATGTAGAAATAAGTGTATAAGTATTCAAAAAAACACTCACGAAATATTCTATTCTATAACTTAAATATATTTCTTAAATTTTAATAAAATTAAAACTTTTATTATCTTTATTATATTTATTTTACAAATTTATATGTTAAATGTAATCATAATATTGTGCTATATGCTAAAGAAATTAGTAAATTTTTAATATGCAAAGTATTTTTCTTTTATTAAAAAATGCGATAATAAATATATGAATAATTAATTAATCTATTGTACTAATTTGATGGATATTGTAAAGAAAATATTTTTTCTGTAATATAAATAAATAAAATAAAGAAAACACATTTATTGTTCAACGAAATAATCAATAGATTATATTTGAACATTTTATATTAATATTATGAAACGTATTATTTTAATAATAATCTTTAGTTATTAGAAAGAGAGTATTTTCAAATTATTATTTGTAATGTATAATTAATGTATAATTTCTAAAAAAAATCTTTTCACTTAGCATGTTTAAATACCTATTATTAGCTCATGCATTATTCATTTGTTTTACAGTGAACTACGTCAGTCTTTTCGCGATATATTGCCGTAAGTGTATCTCACGTTCAGGTAATTTTCGCATTGTTCGATAACGAATGAACGCGTTTTCTATGTGTATAAAATGTTATCTAGCAGGAAAAACATTCTTTGTTCATGTGACTTATATTTATGATCCCTATTAGCTATTTCACGATAAATTTACTTTTATTTTTCACGTGATTTTTTTGTTTACGTATTACATATAAACAATATAAATGCAAGAATATAAAATTTTTTTAAATAGAATATAATAATGCTAAAATATTAAATTATTTTTATCACAAAGAAACAATTCTTAAATTATTTATAAGAAAGAAATTGTAGATCTATTTCTATTTTTTATGATTCAAAATTTAACACTCAACCTTTGTAAGTAATCATATAAAATTGCTATGCACATTTTTTTTAGTTTAAGTAAACTAAAATAAAATAATTGTTCTTATTCCCAAACTTACCTCGTCCACCGCCTCCATATGCGGCTTTGAAGATAACCGGAAGCCCATGTTTCATACAGAATTCCATTGCTTCATCTGAACTTGTTACCGGTCCATCTGTTCCCGGAACGATGGGCACTCCAGCTTCAATTGCGGCTTGTCTGGCAGCCACCTGTTTATTCATTTATTAAATTATGCTGTATATTTTTTATATAAATTCAAAAATTTTTGAAGAATTATTATATAATTAAAATTAATCAAAAGACAATGGGGAACAGTTTAATCGAAAGATTTTTAGCAAAATGGCAAGCAATTCTAAATGTTTTATATAATTACAAATACTTGCAATATAACAAAAAAATTTTAAATTCGGGGCAAAGTAACTTTGATCAATGGAATAAATAATTTATTAACGTTTATTATTAGAAAATTTTATATTCGAATAACATATGTTAAATATTCAATCATGTAATAATATGTAATAATATGTGTATGATATATATGATATTTAACATTTTACCTTGTCCCCCATTTGTTGGACAACTTTAGGACTAGGCCCGATGAATCTGATGCCAGCATCGGTGACCGCTTGAGCAAAATCCGATCTTTCGGAAAGAAATCCATAACCAGGATGTATGGCATCGACATTGTTTTCCTTAGCTACTTGAATAATCTCGGGAATATTCAGGTAAGCCTGAACGGGTGGCAATCCTTTGCCAACTAAATATCCTTCATCTGCCTTCTGACGGTGCATCTGCATCTTATCCTGCTCCGAGTAAATCGCCACGGAGCGGATGCCGAGTTCCGTACAAGCACGAAACACACGAATGGCAATCTCTCCTGAAATGTTATACATAAATGTATATTAAGATTTTATACATCAATAGTAAGAAGTCGGCGCAATTTGAAGTCGAAGTTATTTAATTTTATTTTAGTTTTATAATAATTGATTAAAATATTATAATAATATTTTAAATCAAAACTATCTGATATATTTAATATTTAAAATTGAGAATGAAGAAGATGCTCTTTAAATAAATTTTCGTTGGAAAATTGATTTTAATTAAGTTATTAAGTTATTAAGTTAATGTTTATAGGTATTTAACATTTTCAATAATTTTGAACCGCATGTCATTTTTAATTTTATTATATTTTTAGAATAATGCTGTGGATAGAAAATATGTGTTGAAATTCGTTAAGAGACGTATTACGAGATGCGAGTAAATTATAGTATACAGTTTAATTAAACGGAGTGCTCAGTATACGATCCTCGGTTCTATATCAGGAATAACGTTCTTTTACATGTTGATTAATCACGCAACCTTGTCTTACAAAAATCAATAAGCCACTGATAACATTCATTAACTCATCAATTGTATTTGAGAATCGTTAATATCCAGTGAAACTAATGATGATTGCTTTTAAGTGAAAGCAGCAATTTTGCAGTGAAAATAGCAATTTTGAAATGTATGAAATGTATTTTGTAATTCTCTACTATCTACACAATATGTTTTGCTAAGAAATTTATACTGATTACATACAAATCATATAAATAAAATAATGCCGTATATTATCGAAATATAACAGAGCAAAAAAAAATTTCAGCATGTACGATTACATATATTTGAAATAATAAGTAATGATAATATGTTAATGAGTTTATGACATTATCAAAAGTGGAGTTGCAATAATGCATGCAATGTATCGTTGTCTTATCTTGTTTCTGTACGCAAGATTCTTTGTGCAATCGGTGGTCTGTCGAAATCCGTTTTAACAGAAGTTATTATCCAAATAATGTTAATTGTGATGCAACAAAATCTAATATTTAGAGAGGTCAAGATATATTTTGCAACAGGAGTTAAGAAATTATTTTGTCGTTAACATTTTTTAGATGTACAGAATATTCAGCTATACAAAACAGCATGTAATAAATGTAATATGTACATTGAAATATTTTTATGTTTCTTCTGTGGATTTAACATATTCTTTATTAAATTTATATTTAATATATGATTTGATAATAATTTTAATATACAGTTTTGAAATATATTAAAGGATAATACGACAAATAAATTATACAATAGATTATAATTGATTAAATATAATAGATTCTAATAAAAATTACTTTTTTTTATCTTCTTAAAATTTTTTAAAGAGAATCTACAACTTATTCTAATTAACAGTTTACTTACCTCGATTGGCGACAAGCACACTTCTGATTGGTCTGTACTCCACATCCGTGCCGAAGCATCTCATTGCGATTTTCCATATTTGTAATGCAGTTTTGTGCTTGTTCAACGCTCGATGTGCACGCATGGAATGCATTTTGTTAATTGTCACGTATTTTTGTTAAGTTTTTTCGCAATATTATCACTTTCGCACTATCTTAATTTAAATTGTATGTAAAAAAATTAAAAGACAAACTTCTATATACTTTATCTTTGTAAAACAGATTACTATCGAAAATATTTAGGCCGTTTAAAATATTTTATGACTAGAGCTTGTGTTTTAAAGCTATTTTTCTTTTCCGCGTCTTTATCGTTTGGGTTCGAACTTCAAGTGATTTTTATAGTCGCGATAACGATATATCTCCGAGAGTTATCACTAGACACAGCTTCCACTTTCTCGGAACATTTCTTGACATTCGTCCCACGACACGATGGTTTTTGTTATCAGCTGAAGCGTTTCTTTTCTTTTTTATTATTCTTAAAATAACATTTCCATCAATATTTTGATAATTATTTCTGAAACATATAAATTACAGTCTTATTTAATATATTTGTGATTATAATGTTTTAATTAATTACGCATTTTTATTCGTATATTAAAAGACTCTTGTCCCTCTCTATCACTTTTTTTTATATTATATTTAAAATAAATATACTTCTACATATTCAAAATCAATAATCTGTGGATTTCGCGAAAGATCAATTTTATCTTGTAGTTATTCAAAATTTAAATAACTTTTTCTTGCGCATTATTATATTTACATAAGAAATAAGAAACTATTACATTTAAAGCAAAATTGTTTTAATGTTTTACTTTAAATGATAATTAATGTAGACGACGCTAGATTTACAAATCATAAATTAAAGAAAAAAATTGAGTTTCTTTATGATAAAGAGAAGTTATTTTTTTATTATTTTAAATTAAGATTAACTTTTTGTTATCATAAAAGCGATATAAAATTAACGAACGATCAAGTTTAAGAAAGAATTGTATCGTAATACTTGCTGAAGTTTATATGTAAATTGGCTCATTGACGCATCGTAACTGACATTGAGCGTAATACTGCATTGGCTGCAAGCTACAAGTGCATCTGAATTAGAGTGAGTAGTATTCAACTTACTACGCATGATACATCACACGATATAACATTGTTGTTTCTTATTTTCGACATGCCAGCCAACTGTCGGAATCACGTGATATCCGTATTATTATTTGAACCGTATTATTAGTTGAATCCGTATTATTAGTTGAAAATACGCAGCACAGAGATATTCTAGACTTTGGAATAAACGAATAATATATTTATCGAATACAGACATGACGCGAATAATTATGCGTCTCAAGAAGAAATACAAATAATGATTAATAATATTTTTATAAATATCTCCATAAATAATTTATACTCCAAAGAAAATCAGAATAAATTTCTCAGAACAAATTTTGCGTAAAAAAAAATTATTTATAGAAATTATTTGAGCAAGACTGTATAATGTATAACGTATAATTTTATAT